ATATGAGAAAATTTATTTTTTCAAAAAAAGAAATAACGTTTTGAATAGAAGATAAAAATTATCTTTTTGTAAGTCATGGTCCTGATGACCTGAACTTGTATAAACAAAAGATCATAACAGTTTTTGTCAAACATTAAAATATGACATTTTGAATAAAAGATAAAAAAAATCTTATTAGCGTCTTGACTCTTGTGACTTGTCACACATTTCTTTCTAGTATTTGTTACTTGCAAGTTTCTGATACGTGTAATTAGTGGTGCCAAGTAAAGTTTCTGCAATAGCTTTACCAAATAACCAACTGGGTTGTTGGACAAATACAAACAGCTTTGCTAATACTTTTTTTTTCTAACAGCAACAATATATTAAGAACAAATACCAGCAGTGGCTTGAGCAAAACAAAATGTACAATAGAGAATAATACATGAAAAAAAGAAAAGAAACTAAGCAACACCAAATATCTAGATACTTCAAAGATATCCACTACTAGAAAATGGACTTTCACCGACGGAATTAGCGACGGATGACATCCCTGGCTAAATTAGCGACGGATTTCATAAGGATCAGCGACAGAAATTAAATTAAGTGATAAATAAAGGAATCCAGATTTCAGTGACGGATCACTGACGGATTAGCTAGGGATTAGCTACGGAAATAATCCCTAGCTGATGTGCCCCTGATTTTAACCCTAGATCGGTCGTTGTTTTCTTTTTCCCTATTGTTTATTCCCTCTTCCTTTTCCCTACTTCTTACTCCCGGTTATTTTTCAGTTCCCTTCAAGGGACTGTCTCCCAAATAGAGACAGCCAAATCGAAACCCACGAAGAAGCTACGCCGCTCCGTCGCCAACAATCCATCCTTCGCCCGCAAGTTCACCCGTCTCCGGCATGTCTTCGGCAGAGACGATCTCCGCCACTCCACAGTCGATTCCATCAGGTAACCCTATATTATTCTGATTTCTTGGACCTAGTTGTTTTTTTGTAACATGTGTGGTTGTTTTCTGTAACATGTTCTCTTTAATTTATTGGATATTTTGAATGCCATGAAAGTAATTTCTGAATACTTCAAACATTGATGTGAAACTTCAAAAATTGTTGTGAAAACAGATGGGGAAGATGATGCAAAAGTAGCAATACTCACTGATAATTTTTTAGGAGGAAAAAACGGAAGGGGAAGGGTATAATGGGAATTTGGGGTCATCAAAAAGCTAATCAGCTATGTTTCAGTAATTATTTTCTGGAATTAATTTTTGTTTTGCTGTTCTATGTATATAGTTGATTTTGTGTGATTGTGACATAGTGAATCTATTTTTTACATTGTTTTTATTGCATTAAGGTCATGATTCATCTATATGCAAATAAATACCAATGTATATGTATATTTGTATATTCTCTGTTACAGGGAAAGTATTGGTTTAATTCATTCCATTGGCTAAACAAGCAAGACCTTTTCATGCCAATGGAATCAACCATTCCATTCTTTCCCTTACTCCATCTTACAAACCTACAATCTATAAATCTTTTTTAGAAAAAGCAATATCAAACCTGATTAATTATCTATATGCATTAAATAGTAGTTTACTTTTGTATTTTGTCAGAAATAATTTTTTTCTCTCTAAATGGTCTAATATAACATTGTACTTCCTGTTATAGCATCTTACTTTCACTTCTACTTCGACCATTTCTATACAGGCTTATTTACTTTCATCTCTTTATTACATCATATAGTTATAAACCATTACACTAAACCTTAAAATTTATGCATTTTATTGACTTCATGTTATATATAGCATCCTACTTTGACGTACAATCTTACAATCCATAAAACATGATTTATTTGATGATCGGATATATTATTTATTCATTTTTTTAAATGTAAACAAAAGTTGCATATTTGAATTTGTTGAGGCTAAGTTGTTGAGGCTATTTTGGTCGTTTAGAATTGTTATGCGATTAATAGTGAGGCATTATGGCAACATTTTAAGGTTTGTACATAATATTATTTACAACTTAATAACACCAAATAATGTTTATAATTCAATACACTAAATCTTGTTTAATTGGTATATAACTAATTATATAAGTGATGTTTATGTAGGGACTGTATCAATGGGATCCTTATAAGTACACTGATGAAGTTATACATGATGCATCGACGGAGGTCATGAAAAGTCGTTTTTCTGACACGATGACAAATGCACGGAAAGAATCTGCTAAACTTGCTAAGGCAAAAAATGTCAATGCATCAGGTGATATGTCCCTTTTGAAGCCGTTTAACCCGAAGTGGATAAGATCAGAATACTGGGAAAAAATGATTGATGAAGTTTGGAACACGGACAAATGGAAACGTAAGTCGGAGTCAGGAAAGGCAAATAGAAGCAAAATGGAACACGGTTCGATTTCCAAACACTGTTGTGGTTCTATTCCAATTTCTCATCATAGGGACAAATTGGTAAGATATTTGTAAATTGTGTTGGTTGTCATTTTATTTCGAATTCTCAACATATTTTTTTGTTATTTGATTCATTTTTTCAAAATTTTATTGGAATCAGAGCTGAAGCGCCCACCTTCTCGCCTTGAACTGTTTGATAGAACACATCGCACTAAAAAACCGAAAGAAAGCACTTCAAACAATGACTATGTTACACCTAAAGCTATGATGAGTGTGGTATTTTTTTGACTCTTTAATAAAGTAATTAATTAAGTATGATGTTATATATTTAATCTTAATTGACATTATTGGGTTTATGATAAAATAGGATGCATATGCGGATGGTATGGTGACTAAATATGGTGATGATATTGATAGCCATCCTCCGTATGATCATGAACTTTGGGTTAAAGTTACTGGAGGTATCAAGAAAGGACGAGTACTTGGATTTGGCTATGTTTCTGATCCACACAAGTTTATCGTGCCTTCTCAAGCAGCCCCAAGTACAAGTACAAGTCCAAACAATGTAGATGTTTGTTTTTACTTTTTCACTATTTAACTACTTTACTATAAACACCTCTAGCTATTGGAATTCAATTTGGTAGTACATTGTTATTTGTAAGTTGTTATTTGTTGATATATATTTCCAAGTTGAAAGTAGGTTACTATTTATTGATATATTTTCAGGTTGGAAGTAGGTTTCTATTTTTTATATATATTTTCAAGTTGAAAGTAGATTGCCATTTGTTGATATATATTTCTAGGTTGTTATTTGTTGATATATATTTTCAACTTGAAAGTATAGTACTTTAATTGAATGATATGACTTGGAGTTTATATAGGTCTAAACTTAGTTATTTTTGCTTTTAATTGTTTGTACTTTTTTTTCAAGTTGAAAGTATGTTGCTAGTATTAATAATTTATGTTTTTTTTCAAGTTGAAAGTATGTTGCCTTTTATTGGATATATGGTTTCATGTTTAATTATGTGTAAACTTAATTATTTTTATTTTGTAGGTTTTTGTTGACCGTATTCGTGAGGAGATAAAGGATGAGTTTAGGGCGGAATGTGAAGAAATCGAGGCCCAAAAACAAGAAATTACCAAGATTTATAATGACATCCTAAAACTCACCCAAGGAAGTAACCTACCTAACTAATTAGACCTTGACACTTGATTTTTGTGATTTGGTTTCGATACTTTGAAATCAATTTAGACTTTGTCACTTGATTTTTGTGACTTGGTTTTGATACTTTGAAATCGATTTAGAATGACACTTGATTTTTGTGATGTTTTTCGATTCTTTGAAATCGAATATGAATCTTTATTTTGGTAGTTGAATATGAATCTTTAAATTAGTAGTTGAATTTTAATATTCTTTTATATAAAAATCGTATTTTATTTATTTAGAAAAACTAATTATAAAAAAAGTATTAGCGACGGAATTTAGCGACGGATTCCCAACGGATTCGTTGGGTTCATTGTGATAGATTAGCGACGGATTTCCAACGCATCACCGGCGGTTATTAGCAACGGAATCCGGGGTTTGATTGAGCAATGTGTGCCATCGCAAATCCCTCGCAGATCCGTCGCTAGCAATTAGCGACAAGGGTTTTTTCAACGGGCAATTCTGTTGCTAATCCGTCGCTGATAGCTATCAGCGACAGATTAGCGACGGAATTGTCCGTCGCTGAAAGTCCATTTTCTAGTAGTGATCCTTAAAGGCAAAACGGTCAAAATGCAGACCAAATATCAGTATCATGCACACCACCATAGGGAAGCTTCAACGGAAAGAAAGTTTTATCAGCAACACTAGAGAAAACAACCATAATGGTATAAAATTGGTCACACGAATCTTTCTATCTTTGGGGGGCAAAATCGTCACTTGAAATACAAAAGTCACGCTTCAGCGAAGACGACTGAGCAGCGTTTAGAGAACAAAGACACACAGTTATAATAAAACTTCTGCAACACCAATATACATCCATTTGCATTGAAACAACAGCCAGTGGAAAGTGGTCCTTTTCTGAATAAAGACACCACATTATACAGAAGCGGTTGAAGATTTGAAGTTAATGAAGCCTCAATAACCATCTCGAGAAATTGGAGTCACGAACCAACGCTTGTTTCTTTTGGGGGCTCGGTCATCTGATATTAGCTTGAAATTTGAGCAAACCAATCATTTTTTGTTAGAAAGAGCAATTACTTTGGAAAGCCCATAGTAGTTCCACCAGCAATGCACAGTAGTTCCACTAGCAACATCGATAGAATATTTAAGCTTCTCCCAATGGAACATATGATTTGAATTGATAGATTTTCCTACAATTATTGAACAAAACCGAAGAAGAATACACACACACACATACTCCAAAATGAGCCACCCCCCCCCCCCCCCGATTTAGCTTTTGCGGGCTCGAACCGAGGGGTGGCTACCCCGCCTCCTTTCTCTTCACCCCATCGGCCGAATTTCTTCTTCTTCTTTTTTTTGGAAAAAACCCTTCAAACAGTTATTTTATAAAGACATATACTGACTCTTGGATAAGACAAAGACCAGCTAATACCAAATTGTGTGTAGGTTTGTCTTGATAAAGACATATACTGACTCTTGAATATTTGTTATGTCAAGAAATGTTTCTCGACAAGAGAATCTTATATGTCGAGAGGTCAGT